TTATAGGCAAATATAGTTATTAGACTTATCCAAGTGGGAGTCTGTTGGATAAGGTGTCTAAGTCCATAACTTATTTGGTATATACTTGACCCGACCGACATGGTCCATTTGGGTTGCATCTTATCCAAACTATTATGGATAATTTTATGAGAGTTATACACATATGTTTATTAATATATTATGAGTTATAATATATTAATATGAAGTTACGTTATTTAATTAGTTTTAGTCTTAAATTAATTATGAATTAATTTAGAGATTAAAAGGAATACTAATTAAATTATGGGCTATTTGTTTTATATAGTGTGGGCTAATACTCATTTGTTAATGGGCTAGGATTATGTGGAAGTCCATGGATGATCCATGGAGCTTTTAACCCATGGATCCTTGGAAAAGGAAAAGACATGGGTTATTAGGGTTTCACCCTAACCATGCACACTATATAAGCATGCTTATGGAGCATGAAATGGAGCCTAAGAGAAAACTAGTGAACTAGTGTGTGTGTGCATGTGTGTGGCCGATTTTATACAAGGTGTATACTCTCTCAAAGTTTTCCAAGAGTTTGTGGTGTTTGTGATTCCATTTGAGGTGGTTGAAGCTTATCTGCTTTGTGCGAGAGCCAATAGACCTCTGCATTCCAACCCAATGGTTGTAGGTCGTGAGTATTCCATCTCGAGGATGATTGGACTCATAATATGTGGGAATTCCAACCCGATGGTTGTGGGCCTGTGGTATTCCATCCCGAGGATGATTGGACCCATAGTATATTGGCATTCTAACCTGATGGTTGAGGGTCTGGGGTATTCCAACCTGATGGTTGACTGGACCCATAGTATGATGTTTTTGATTATGTGTATATTGTGTTGTGTATGGGTATTTTGGGGAACTTACTAAGCTTCGGGCTTACACTTTCAGTTTTGGCTTCAGGTACATCGGATGATCACAGGAAGGAGAATGTGTGATCGTATAGCTCCTCACATTTTATGATTTTGATTTCTGGGATACTCTGACATGAAATAATTTGAAAACACTTTGTGATAATTAATGGTTTTAATTGGTTGAAAAAGTATTAATTTTCCTTGATTTTTATGGGTGTTACAAAGGTCATGGAAGGTTAGAAGTTGTTCTTATGAGCTTGTATTCTTCTTCTTTCGAGGCCCATAACCGAGAGCAAAGTGCTCCTAAAGGGATGCCATATTTTCGAAGTTTAAGTCCTTACTTCTTCTCCATTCTCTTGCATTTTGATGTCACAGAATGTCCCTCTATTGCTTCACCTTTGAACATATATTTGGGATATATCTCAAAGGCTTATGAACAAAAACTTACAAGTGAATACTAGCATGTTTTGATGGTTCTACTCGTGCTTGGTGGATACTTCAAGAGAACTATTGTTTTAGAGTTTCATGCCACTCTTCATCAACTTCCAACCTCCCATGAGGTTCAAAGTCTTCAAAGGTTGTTATGCTTTCCCTTCTATGGTTGTTTTAATCTTTCTAACTCTTGCAAAATGATCCTTGGTGGGTAGAATAGTTTTAGTTTTATTTAACTTTTTTTAAAGCTTCTGTTGTTAATTTTACCGGTTGTGAAACCGGATTTTTGAATAAAAACCCAACAGAATCCTAACACTACTACTCAAGAACTATGGGATCGATTGTCTGAAATCTTTCAAGACAACAAAGCTACTCGTACATACCTTGAAGAGCAATTCACCAACACATGCCTAGATGCCTTTGCCAATGTCACTGAATATTGTGCTCGTTTGAAAAACCTTTCTGATCAATTAACTAATGTTGGCATTCCCATATCTGAATAAAAAATGGCTCTACAACTTGTTTCTGGTCTTACCAAGGGTGATTATGACACAATCACCACCATCATCCAACAATCTGATCCGCTTCCCACCTTTAATAAAGCTTAATCCCAACTACTCTTGGAAGAAACAAGCAAGAACAAACAAGATACTCATGCTTCCCAAGCCCTTGCTAACCAGACTTCTGACTCTCCAAACCCTCATGTTCACTCTTAGACTAATGATAATAAGATCATGGTGATCAGGGCAACAATCGTGGCGACTATAGAGGAGGGTGTTATCGTTATCGTGATCGTGGTCGTGGTCATGGATATAGAGGAAAAGGTCGTGGCCAGTCCAACTACACCCATCAAAACTACACTCAACAGAACCCATGGCAACAAGTAGCCCTTTATCTCATTAGTCAACTAATCTCGCCTCCATGCCCTTACCCAACATCACCTCCTCAATTCAGTCAACAAGGACTACTTGGTTCAGGTCCTTCTCATCTTCAGTAGTGACCTCCATATACTCTTCCACAGACATATTACACATCTCCTTCAACTAACATGCAAGGTACTCCGATGACCCCTACAGACCTGATTAATGTTGTTCACACCATGCAACTTTAACCACCCGATAATACCTGATACATGTACACATGTTCAACTGCACATCTCACCAATGACTAGGGTAATCTCTCCAACATATACTGTTTAAGTAAACCTCATTATATCATAGTAGGAAATGGCACAAATATTCCAATTCAAGGTCATGGTTCATTTATTCTTTCCTCTCTTAATCGTTCCTACTTTCTTAACAATGTCTATCACGTTCCAAGCATTATCAAAAATTTAATATCCGTTAGGAAATTTAGCCGTGACAATAATGTTTCCATTGAGTTTGATCCTTATGGATTTTCTTTGAAGGGTCTCTACACGAAGGCACACCTCACTAGATGCAACAGTTCTGGTGACCTGTGCACGTTTCCACCTAATCCAAGTTCATCATCCTCGTTGGTAGCTCTTCATACGATCTCTCCTACAACATGACACAACCACCTCGGTCACCCAGGATCTGTAGTTTTTGATTTTCTTAGTTCTCATATTTTTCCTTTTTCTGATAAACTTAAGAATCATAAGTCATGTAATGTCTGTTCTTTGGGCAAACACTGCCGGTTACGGTTTTCATTATCTCGGTCTATTACTTATTCTCATGATCTGTGGACATCACCATATGCTTCTAAGCTGGGACATAAATATTATTTAGTTCTACTTGATTATTTCTCTCATTTTATTTGGACATTCCCTATAGAAACAAAGGCACAAGTTTTCTCCGTCTTCTCACAGTTTCACAAGAACATTCAAACTCAGTTTCAAAAACAAATTAAAACCTTACAATATGATAATGGGCTTGAATTCAACAACTCTTTCATCAATTTGCATCTCACATAGAATGGAATTTCGATTTACTTTCCCATATACATCCCCTCAAAATGGAAAAACCGAGCGAGTTATCTATACCATCAATAACATGATTCGTACGAACCTTATCCAAGATTCTATCCCTCCTTCCTACTGGAACTATGCTCTTTCTCTCTCCACATACCTTCTCAATATTTTACCCTCCACTACCATTCATAATAAAACTCTTACCGAAATTCTCTACAATTCACAACCCTCCTATCATCATCTTCGCACCTTTGGGTGCTTATGTTAGCCAAATCTTTCCTCTACCACCCCTCATAAACTTGCCCCGAGATCTATTCCGTGTGTCTTTCTAGGCTATCCGCCAAGATCTACCCAAACTTTGGGTGCTTATGAGTATTGTTCCGGTTTAACAATCACAAGTCACAACATTTATTAGTTTTCGGGTAAAGTGATTCTGATCCTGAATATTTGAAAGTCAAATAATTAGTTTTTCGTAATTAAAAGCTAAACAATTACTTTATAATATTCATTTTAGGAGTAGGTGCAACAAAACTGATTATGCAAAAGTAAACAATAATTGTTATATTAGCCTTATTTTTAACCTTGTGTGTTCATGTTCTGTGCATGTGTTATACTATACATTCATATTCCCCTGTTATACTCTTGTTTTTGAATTCATATCCCTCCATGCGGGGTTGTGTATGTGTGAACAAGAACCAGGGACTGAGATGTATTTCCTGATTTGTGAAAAGATAAATGATTGAATTGCAGTACATGAATCCAAAAACATCAAACATGATATCGTTGTCTTTTGAAGGTTATTGAAAAGGCCAAACATTCAAATCAACATCAATGGTTAACTCGTCCCCACTAGTTGGTTGGTTGGTTGGTAGGACAGGACCCATGGCTCATTGGCTCCACACCACCACACATGGTTGGGTCAGACCCAAGTGCACCACCTACTCTGGCTAAGGTGGGCCTTGTAACAATTAAAATCACACTTCCATGTTTTCTACTTCGTGTTATGTTATCTAAAAGAAGTAATCAATGATAATCAATGATTTTGCATGTAGCAAACAATTATCTTATTATTATGTTTAAATTTATTGTTTAATGCAAAAAATATTATTTAACAAATGTTCCGAATATGGTAACTTCAATTGTCTAAATTTATTGACCTATAAGTCATTCAAATAAAAGTTATTCGATATACTATGATATTAACTTAATTCAATTATAATAATAATAATAATAATAAAAACTCATTAATGACTTCGAATATAAGCTACCAATTTAAATATATTGAAATTTGAAGAAAAGAGCTTTAATAGAAACTTCAAGCTTAACATTTGTGAACGAATATGAAAAATCTAGAAAATAAATATAATTCAAAATTGAAAATAGCAGATTGCGTTGTTGTTTAAATAAATGATATTAAAAAAATATCTAAATTAACAAGAACATACTTAATAAAATAAATAAATATAAATAAATAAGTTTCTAAAAAAAATAGAGGATAATTATATATATCTAATTGCATTATATTTCAATTTAGTCATCCCAAGAAACTCATTAAAGTGGGAAAATAGACACCATTGATACTATCTTAATTAAGTAACTTTACACTAAATCATGATTTCCTCATTACGTGAAAAACTGGCCTAAATACGTACTGGATTATGTAGTTTCAAGATCATGTCAGAAAATAAACAAGCACCTTACGAATTACAAACGGATAGCCAAGAATCTGGGGTGTTCTTCGGTTTAATTTCCGATTTGATCTAAGTGGGTTTTAAGTTGTGGAACATAGCGTCCCACTTGATCTCTTCAACACCTCTACCAGACCAATATCTGCCACCATCGCCGTCGTCGTCTTCATCGTCGGTGAAGCAATTTCCTTCATCGTCGCCGCCGTCTGTTTTCCCTTGGTCATAGTGGAGATCGTAAACTAATGGACTCGATAAGCTATTCACTCTCGCGCCTCCGGATTTAACCACCGGCGGGTAGCCATTATTGATCAAAAGAGTTGCAGAGCCTCGTCTGTTCATCACCAACCTGTTGCTCCTCTTGGCCATGGCCTCTTTCCATCTTGAACTGTAACTTCTCCTCTTAACCCTGATCATAGCCGAATCATTGTGGTGCACCCATGTTCGAATGTAACTACCCAAGGTTCTTGTGGTTTTCTTGATCGCTATCATTATTTTAGCCATTGGCTGCCAAGCAGATGAGCCTTTTGCGAGCTTGAGTATCTCAAGCCTGTGTTTGGCTATGGAGATTCCCATGCTTTGAAGGAATTCATGGTTGAAATAAGCGATATCGTCTTCTTCGAGTTGATTTTGGGAGAATGCTACAGCGTATTCGTGAATGAATGGAGGTTTAAGATTAGTTTTTGATAGCCATGAAAACCAGTCCATGGCTTGATGGAATGCTTGTGATGCTATGAGTAGAAGATAAACTAATAAGTCTTTATATATAAAAAGTAAAGGGCACCGAAAATATGTAAAAAGCTAAGATGATAAAAGTAGGGTAAAAATATCTAAGTTTTCTTTTTCGACATTTTACTAAAAAATCGATAAAACTTCGAAAACAAAAGAACTGAAAATCCCATTAAAATGTAAGAAAATAGGTGGATTTCGACAATCATATATATTTTCACAAAGGAAAAACAACCAAATTATATAAATGACATCAACATATGAAAAATGCTACCCAAGGTCGGGGTGGTTCAATCAATTTAGAGGCTCTAAACGACCAAAAATTTGGGACCCTTTAGCATAATTATATACTTAACTTTATAAATTAAACCCTTCTCTTTTATCTGGATTTGTGGACCGACAATAATAAACTAAAAAGTTTATAAATGACGGAGTTATAAAAAAATTATGTATATATTTTTTTTGAATATATTTAAGACATAAAATTAATTTTCCTTTTTGAAGCCTCTGATTCATATTTTCTTTTTGACACGATTATTAATTATTTGATTAACAATAAAAATGAACAATCACCAAGACAAAAATTATAAGTGTATAAGATATGGATTAAGAATTTAGAATTATACCGCATCTATAATAATGGAAAACTCAAATCTGGAAAATTGAAAACAAATTCCTTCCAACCCGATTCACTGATTGTATATTTGTAATATATTGTAAGCAATTAACAATGGAATAAAAACGTAGAAAACTGAAAAAAATAAAAACTAAAAAGTTTTAACCCTAATTAGATTATCACTAAATCAGAATATCATATGACATCATTGATCGTTTTTTAGAGCCTTTAATGGAAAAATAAGACCTGAAAGTGAAAATAATTGCACATATATTACCGTTTTTGCATCTTAGTGTGTTGTAACAGCCTTCAATGGAGAAGGAAGAAGCCGACAATGGAACGATAACAACAAGAACAGAAGGCAGAGAAGAAGAATCGTAGAATAAAGAAGAAGAATCCTAGAATCGTTATGAAGATTTCATAGTACAAGAATGGAGAAGAAGAAGATACAAGCGGAAGTTTAATCGTGGATGTTGCTACTTCTTAATCGCTTGAATGAAGACACATAGACATAATTTTGCGTTTTGAGTGGTGCATCTATTCATCAATTTTTTGTGGAATATGAACTTGGAATTTGAGTTAAATAGGCCCCTTAAAAGTGGGGCCCTAAGCCCTAACTTTGTTTATTTGAACATAAAGCCGACCATACCCAAGGTGTAAACGAGGCACATAATTGGAAAAAAAAAAAAGCAAAACATAAAAGTTGGGTAAAAATGGGTTTATTGACATAAAAGTCTTTAATTTTTTTAGTTCTATACGGTTTTGTCATGTAACGATTTTAGGTGTGGTAATGTCCTAACATTTAGGCTCTTTTTTGTCAAATATGTCATTTAGCAAGTTCATAGAGTTGTAGCCGGTAACATTACCCTACACAACCCTTCTTCCCCGTACGGCTATACCCCCCACCCCTGTAGTCCCCCTAGTCATCGCCGAAACCCAACTCCCACCGTCGTCCATTCTTATTCATCACCGCCCACCCCTAGCAAGCTCCAACGATGCCTTTAGACCCAGATGCAATCATCGTCCCTCATTCTTCATAACTACTATCTCCTTCACCTCTGTACTCTCTAAAAAGGTAAAACATGAATCAGAGCAAAGGGGTTTAAGGGGAAGCCGACCTCCTCCTATCGCGATGGTTGGATTGGATGTTGAGGTCTCATTAGAGAAGACGACTTCCTCATGTTGTCAATTGCACACACCTCCACTAGAAAATCGATTGCACACACCTCACCGAAGAAGACGACCTCTTCAAGATGTTGATTTCACACACCTACCACCTCGTTCTTCATCTAAAATTACTCTTACTTGAAATGTACCACTTACCATGATGCCTGGATTGGTTTATTATTATTATTATTATTATTATTATTATTATTGGGTTTGCATATTGATTTCCCAATATTTCATCTAAAATCGACGTTGACAAAGCACTTCCATGAGTTTTCGAAAATTTTAGGGTATGTGTATAATTGGTGGTAGTTCTTACAAGACACATACATGGTTGTTGGTTATTGCTAACTTCCTTAATTTTGAATATGCAAGTTATTAACCTTCAATTTGTTTGACATATATATATATATACATATATATATATATATATATATATATATATATGTATGTATGTATATATATATATATATATATATATATATATAGAGAGAGAGAGAGAGAGAGAAAAAAGAGAGAGTTAGGTTCATATATATAAACTTTATATATTGTGTGATTGTATGGTCAACCTAGACCAATCATTTGGCAGGGTCGTTTTAGTAGTCTTCCTTAATTAATTAATTAATAACCTAAATTAAAAACCTATAATGATGGTTAGTCATTTATATTTAAATATGATGTCCTATATTTATGGAATAGTAGCTGCAAAATCCTACAGATTCATCTTCTTCTCTCCGTCAAACCTACATCACACGAGACATCCACCATTATCAAGCCTTAGATCAAGCATCTTCACCAGATGCTTCTCCACTAATTCAAAGGAAAATGGCTTTAAGGGTGGTTAATGGTGGTTCACTACCATAAGAAGCAAAGGAAGATCAATCACATATACCCATCTCTCTCTAAAACCCTAATTTTCGCGTTTAAAAATCCTCTTTTCTTGCTACTATCGAGATCTTATTTAAATTGAGAATTTGCTTGAGAGCATTAAAGGGTTTCAAAATTGATGTATCATAAACAATCCTGCAACAACAGTTCTATTATTAGAGAATTCATTAAACCCTTGAAGCTCATATCCACCATGCCAATGCCTTGTAAATATTCTCTCCACGTTTCAATTTTCTTTTGGTTTAACTTACATGTTGTTGTTGTTGTTTTTTTTTTTTTTTTTTTTTTTAATTTTATATAATTTATTTATTTATTTATTATTATTATTATTATTTTTTAATTATCATAATTTAGTTTAGGGTTTTAGGTCATAATATTTGACACTTTTGTTCTTTTTTCGAATTATCATATTTGACTATCTTTTCTTGGCCATGAATTCATCTACTGTACCATTCTTTTTAACATACAAATCAGGTGTGTTTGCATCACGTCAAAGTTACCATGTTGAATTTCTAAGACTGAAATAATAAGTTATTAATTTTGATGTTTTACATCAACTAAAAGTTTTTGTTTCGTTATAATCATACATAACATTTGTTACATTTTTGTAACGCCAGTAGATTCGGGCTAGTCAATTTAGAGACGATAAGTGTCGAAAATGACTTTTTGATAGAAGATTATTCAAAATGAATGATCTTAACCAAGTTGTAGTGGTCGTGACAAGGATTCTGGATATATGAAGAACACCGAAATCTGAGTTATAACGAAGAAGTTATGACTTGCCGAAGTTTCGCGACAGAACCGGCACGATGCTGTATGACGTAAAAAGTGAATTTTTGTTAAAGTGATTTTTAGCCTTAGTGATCTAAACGAAAATCGTAGTGTTCCTTAAACCGAGAGCGTGCATAAAAAGAATGTCCAAATCAGACTTTGTATAAGGAAGTTATGAATTTTCTATGATTTCGCATAGTAGTATGCAATCCGAAACTTGAATTATAGATCGAGTGACTTTTAGCCAAAACAACCTAAACGATAATCGAAGATCTTTTTGATAGTAGTTCAATGGTAAAAAGACAGACGAAAAAGGATGTTGGATGAAGAAGTTATGAATTTTTAACAAACTTTTCCTGTCTCGGTCTGTTAAAAAAATACCTTTAAAAATAAAGTCAAAATTAGCCGACGGAGTCTAAATGAAATTTGTAGAGCATAACCTCACCTACTCGTGGATATAAAGAACGTAAAAAATGGAGTTCGTATGTGAAAATTACAAATTTTTGAAGTTTGAAAATTCGGAGTACACCCAATGTAGATGAGTATGCTCAGCGTATTTGTGTTCACGATCCGAGATTGGCCATATAGCCCTACTCCTTTGCATGAGAAACAAGTGTCATAGCCTTGACGTGTCTGATATAATCCCTTTGTACTCCCAACATACTCAATATACGCCCAACGTACTCTAAAGTTACGCCCAACGTAACTCGAGTTTTCAGCCCCTATAAATCGTGATCAAAGCCATCCGAAATTTGTTTACAAACTTTCATTCTTCCCACCTTGTACCTTCTTCGATATTACAAAAATTACCACTAACCCTATTATATCATCCTAGCATCATAAGCAAACCCCGGAGAGCCCGAAGATCCCGAGAAAAATAGTTTTTGAGCCGAAACTCTGCCCACATGAAGCCCGGTTTTTGGGAAAACATCCAAGTTTCATCAAAGAAGATTATTTTAAGAGACGAGTTGCTGCCCAATTATCGTCTTAACAAGTGAGTATGTAGTTACTTTCATCTTACACATAAATATGAAGTATTTTCTATAAAATACATGTTATGTGTGTGTGTGTGTCTATATATATATATATACATATATATATATATATATATATATATATATATATATATATATATATATTGTTTGTTTATTAGAGATGGGTGTTGAATAAATGTTTTATACATTTTTAGAATGATTTAAACTGTGTATGTATTGTTATCAACAAATATGTTGGGTATAACATTGGTAGATGAAATAGTTGATGTGTGAGGGAATAAAATGATGAGAGGTCTCGATGTTAACGATGTTACAGTCATCTAGCAGAATATAGATGACAACCACGAACTTTTCCAGACAATCCAGTGGAACGTTAATAGGCTCATAACCTGTAGATGTGTTTAAACTTATGTGTTCATCAGGTATTTTTGAACTGAGTGTTTACCATATGTTTTGATATGTTTTTATTAGGTGTTTTTGAACTATGTGTTTATTAGGTTATCGTTTTTTGAACTGAGTGTTCACCAGGTGATTGTGTTCATTAGGTATTTTTGAACTGAGAGTTCATTAGGTGTTTTTGAACTAGGCGTTCATTAAGTATTTTTGAACTACATGTTTACCAGATATTTTAAACTACATGTTCACCAGTTGTAATTTAAGAACCCTGACAGCGATGGACTTTGTGCCTACTCCTTAGGATAATCCTTAGGAATGAATGAATGAAGGACAAATGATCCTTAAGATCTTTAAGAATAAATAAGATAACGGAGATTGGTAATTGGATTGATTGTTTGATAATTCAACTTAATAAATTTATTTATTGTGGGTTGAAAACCCTACATGCTCACCAGACACCCAAGCCTGACCCACTCAGTTTTGCTATATTTCAAGTAATGGAACAAGAGCATAATTAGACGATGATGATGGATTTTAGATTATAGGCCAGTAGATGTAAATAACTGTTGTTAGGCTTATATTTTACTGTTTATGCTCTTGGTCTGTATCGGAACATGACATGTCGAAGTTTTGTTATATAACGAAAATACATTTCTTTAATAAATGCTTTGATAAATATTTATTATATTTTGTTTTGGAAACAATTTCCGCAACACCTTCTGGAAGATTACTTTGATTTTATTTTAAAAGCATAAATTAAATCTGTCTTTTCTGGCCGAGAAATTTAGAGATATCACAGTTTTTGCTCTATTTGATTAACTGAATAAATATACCGTACATATTTGCTTCCAAGGTATTTTGTCATGCTTTATATAGTCGTTCGTATATATGGGTTTTTAATTGATCGGAATATCCTTTTGTTCGTAACATCTACATTTAATTTTACTTATTTTTTCTTTTATACAATTAAAAAATAACCATAGTATTTTGATCGTGAATTAACTTCGATTCATCATGAATAAATTTTATTTACTAACGAACGAATTTTAATTCTTAAAGAACTAACAGTGGATTATGGTGTTGGTTTGAGATAATGAAGTCTTTATGGTGACATTTTTACGTAGGTAGATGGCATGAGAGGTTGATGATTCAGTTGGTAATGGATATTGATCGAAGAAAATGGAAACTCAAAAAATTTGACATTATATTCTTTTAATTCATCAAGAATTCTTAAATTCTTGAAGAATTCTTCGGTTATATAAAAAGCATGGTGTTATAAAACTAAACACTATATTCTTGAAGAATTTTTTTCGGATGTATATAATGTTTATGGTGTTACAGAGCTAGAACAATTCAATTCTTTGAGAACTCTTTAGTTGTATAATGAATGGAATATGTTATAACATTTACTAACCATTAATTCTACAAGATTCTTTGGTTTGTTTTCAAGTTAAAGTGTTTCGTAACCTAGATTCTATAAGAATATTTTATATTAATGTGCTAGTTAGTTAGAATGCGTCTTAATCCTTCTTAAAAATCAAGATATAGTAGACTGAGTCTTATCCTTCTCAAAAATCAAGATAAATTTGAAGATAGACAACTATATTCTTCAAGAATTCATGATTATTACTTTTTTCAAGAATGTATAATTATTTTTCCTAGATATGCTTGGTCCTCAACATCATATTATATTCTGAACTGTAATATTTTTTTTATTAGATTTGATTTCATTAACTAAAT